TTGCTTCTGTCGGTGTCATTTTTATTGTTGAATGTTTTGTTTTACTGTATTTTTTCAATATATGTGGCAGAATATCAAAATAGGTTGTGTTGCCGTGAACTGTGAACTGTTTCCACATTCTCTGTCGCATTGATCTATTCCATCTTTCAACAACACTGGATTTTTCTTCATTTTCTGTTGAGTATATTTTATGCTGTGTTTGTCTAATAACTCTTTGAGATGTTTATTATAGAACTCCTTACCCTTGTCAACCCATAGATATTGTGGTTGTCTGCCTTCTTTGAAGATGGTTTTAAATACTTCAGTTATAGTTTTACCTTTCCTGTCTTTTAAGGGTTTTATCCATCCATAGTTGCCATACACGTCAATAACCATATGCAGATATTCGTATCCTTTGCTCCATTTACTGAAATTCTGCATAGCAACAGGGTGTGCACTCCATATTATATAAATGTGATTCACAATAACACGCCGTCGAGTAAAATCCCTCTTTATGCAAGTTCTCACTCGACGGCTTTTTCCTTATTTTGAAACACCAAGACCAAGTCCTTCATATGATGGATTTTTTTAATCATTGACAACTTGAGGTGAATGCATATTAATTGGATACCATTTTGAATAATCAGTTTGACCACTATGATGAAGGGGATCTAATTTGTTTGATACATTGGAGGAGAAAATATCAAGGGCTTGATCAATATACTTATCAGCCATTCCCTCCTATCTTCGTTTCTGCAAGATCACATTTTGATAACCTTTGAAGCACCAAGTTGACCAAGATTAAAAAAAACTTTCACACCAGCTTTCAATGCCATTTCACCAAGACTATGGCTGTTTGCAACATCAAAAAATCTGCCCCCAGCTTGTGAGGTCTCATTTAGTTTCCCTGTTTCACGAATTTGGTTTTAGTGGCACCACAAGAAGCACAAGTGCATTTCAACATCAATTTGTTGTTTTAAGTCTTCTCACACCTTTTACTACCTAGAACACAATCAGTTTGCTTTTTTCTCTAACACAACATGATTTTGTAATTATATAATAAGATTACATATCTTCATCAAACTTTTTCATTACGCTTTTATTCTCTTAGGCCCCAATCTTTCGAACAATTTCGGATCGATCCTACTTTCCTTTCCAATCAAATTACATTGGGTTTTGGGTACAGGTAGATAAAAAAACTATATGCTGCAGTTTAAGCTCAGTTTTTGAGGTACATCATAATAAGATCGACCGAGAAAGATTGGTAAAATATCGTGCTGACTTCCATCTGTGAAATGATTGCTATCTTTGATTGGATTTTATTTAGTGCATTGTCATGATCATCAAAAACAACAATTGTTCTGTTTCCTTCAGGGTATTCACTTGTTTCCATGATCTCATCGAGTCTTTTTATTTCCAGAACATCATGACCAACTTTGTTAAATATTTGGCTCATTATTGTCTTGATGTTCATTGGTTGGGTATAAATATATTTTATCAAAACAAACAAGTGGCCTTCGTAACATATGCATCACAGTATTTGTCTTCCCACAACCTGATTGCCTGCAAACTAACATGCGACACTCTTCATCCAAAAACATCTTCAACCTTCTTTTTTTACTTTGTTTATTGTCATTGTCATAGCTGGGAATCTTCAAGTTACACGGGCATATTAAAATATCTCATATGGAATAACTGTCTTAATTATATATGGACACAAACAGACTGAGAAAGAATTATTACTCTCTGAAACATAAGATACCAAAAGAAATTAAGGATTACAGTGATGGAAGAGATATGCATCAATATGAAACCAGAGAAACATTCAAACCAATTATCGACACACAAAAAGAGATAAAAGAGACTATTGATAAGAAACAGGATAAGCTAATTGAAAAAGTACAAGAAAACCAACAAAATATTTTTAATTCACCTGATGTACTCTCAGACGTAACGTCTCAACAAGGGTCTCACCAGGGGTCAGTTCATGGAATTAATAGATGGTTGTCAGACTTACCGTCAAGTTTTGATCCATTGAACACTATTGAAGAAAGTGATGGTAATAATGAAGATGAAGATAAAAATAAAAATTATGACATATTTACAATGAGGTATGGCGGATACTTGATGAATTGTTGAAACTGTCTGAGATAACTGAAACATAACATGTTGCATACATCAGGTAACATTTTAAATAAACTAATAATATAAAAATATACCAATATTTCTGAATTCAGTTGAATATGTAACAATAGTATATATATCAAGAGTACGACGGATCAGAGACAAAAATGGTCATAGTGTATATTACGACGTGGAGACCATGAAGCGCAATTCTAAAATGATTCAAAACGGTGAAGGCATTTTTTGATATTGCAAAAAAAGTCGCAGGCAAGGTTGCCTCCAAACTGACAGGAAAAGTTGCCAAAGATATCGCTACACAGGCAGCAAAAGCCATTGAAAAGGTGCAGAAGATGTTGGAAGCAAAACAGGCCAGCTATTCGGAGAGATCGGCCTGATCGTTCTTGTGAATTTAGAGGTCTCATATCCTGAGTAATCATAAAAATTACCATTTCCGCAATTGCGATTTGTTTAAAAAGCCCCTCTTTTCCACTAATTCACTTGCATAGCTGTTATTGGGTAGTTTGCTATGGGACAATTCAGTAAGCCAATCACATTCCAAGTTGTAGTTTAAAACAAGTAATAACACTCAAAGTTGTAGTTGAAATCAACTAGCAACCAACAATCCATTTACGCCTCCTTTGTCAGTCTTTCAATGCAAATTTTCCTTTTTATTCATTACTTAGCTAGGCTGAAATTAATTTAATAGAAGAAAATTAATTAATTAGATCATTGGTTTAGCATACAATTGCAATTGTAATCATGGCGGACGCCATGGATTCCGACAGCAATCAGCGAGCAAGAGCCTTTCTTCCGTTGCCTTAACTCATTTAGTCAGTTCAGGCGGACGACCAGAGACTGGAGCCATTCCTGTATTTCACCGCTGACAGGAATAGCTCCGACTCATGCGTTCATTATTTTATTTTTATTTCTTTCTTTTTTTGCCATTCGTTTTGGCTAAATGATTTATACACTAAGATAAAAACTGGAAGAGCGGTTTACTACGTTCTTCCTACATTGAACTCTACAATGCTTTCAAATTAAGCCCTCTTTTATCAATTCAGGGCCATGAACTTTTTCAGTAATATTTATTCTATGGTCAGTACGACCCCCCAGGTGTTTTTATCGAAACAATTATAAGAAAATCCCCGTACGAGGGCCTGTGAGATGCGGAAGTAGAGAGAAAAAGACTGTGACAATCATATAATAAAATTCTTAATGATTGAGTAAGGTTGGGAACGGATATTTGAATGGTAGCTTCTTAAAGACAACCCTTGTCAGTTCCCACGCCCAGAAAGTAGCTCCATGGATCCTGACTACAAGGAAGCATCTAGTGATACTGCATACCACGACAGCACCAACGAGATGAACTTTCTACGAGACTGTCTAATAAAGGAACTGTGGGCGAGAATGGGGAAAGTACCAAATTGCTCAGATGATTGATGACGGTAAAATTCTGTGAAGATGAAGATGCGCTACAACAGTTAAAGAAAAGTGTCAATTCCTCCTAATAGTTAACTTCGATGGTGCAGCACGTGCGTACGACAAGTACACTGTCGGCTGCTATACCTAAAGGGAGTGCACATGAAACAAAAAAATTGAGGTCCAGAAACGTTTCTTTTCCACCAAACGAAAGACACAGAAGAGAAATGTCAGGTTGGAAAAACCAACCAAGGAAGAAATGATGGAGATGATTGAGAATTGGAAGAATGATGAGCAAGCAGAGCAGAACAACATCAAAGTACCTGTAGACTTCACATTGCAAAACGAAGGCGCACAAGGTATGTGGTGCTTCACTGTTCGAAATGTTTTCTTCCTAGCCTATCACACCTGTCTCACCTCACCATCTGTTTATTTCTCTTGTAGGATTACAAGAAATGCTTCACTGGTTTACTAAGGAAAAACATCACTCCATTGAAGACCTGAAAAATCTGTCTTTAAACTGTTTTTTTCTGACGTATTGGATATGGACAGGGTATCTTTGATACCCGAAGAGGCAGTAGAAGCTTACTTAGCAGATTTGAAGAGGTTTATTACAGATAGTGCCAGGAAAGCAGTTTGCAAATTAGGTTAGGATGGCTCGTGTACTTTACAGAAAACGTGGTCTAAGTTGTTCTAATTCTTTCTTAAATTTAAGTGATATAAATACCTTTTCTAAAACAATAGTAATACAATAGCAAAGGAGATGTATACGTTCCAAAACAGCGTCATGTGATGAACAGCCTTCATTAGTTTTATGCAAGTTTCTTAAAATCATTTGACTCTTTCTGGTTATAGCCTAAAAGCTGTCCGAAGACTGATTGTGCCATCATTGCGAATAGTTAAGGCAACTCGACATGATTCAGTGCGAGAGTTACTGCCACTGGTTTGACTGGTTAGACGGTTTTTTTTTTTGTTTTTTTGGTTTGTTTTTTCCTATTTTCAGGTCTAGTGGAGTTGTTAAAAAAATTATCAAGCAAAATTAAACTAATGCGCGGCTTTCTTCCTTTAGGTGTTGTGCAAAAATAAATGAGGAGCCCGATGAAAAGATATGTCCTTCATGTGAACATTTATCCCAGAAAGTCAGCGTTCCACAAAAAAACTCCCTCTATTGCGGCCAAGCCACATTTCTCCAGCAGAGCATACTGTAAATTAAATATATCGGTCGCAGCCACGCAACACTGCGTGATTTTCCAAACGTGACATGCAGTAGCTGCATTATTTTAAAACTTGGAAACTACATGGTCCTGTATTAATAAAAGAGGGCTTCATTTACAAGTAGTGTAAAGTTCAACATAAGAAGAAACGAATGAAACGCTCTTTCGGTTTTATTAGTGCATCTAAGTGTGTCAATTATTTAGCCAAAACAAAAAAAAAGATAAAAAAAAGCACTAGTCGGAGCCATTCCTATCAGCGGTGAAATGTAGGAATAGCTCTAGTCTCTGGTCGCCATGGACGCCATTTTTCTTCTGCAAAACACTACTTTGCGCATGCCCTCGAGTAAAAACAGCATGAAAAATACATTAAAATAATTTATGTATTTGGTTCGGCTTCTTTAAAGTACGGCGACGAACTTACTGCTGCCCATGAATAATTAAGCCAAAAAAAAAAGAAATGGAACACTTCTTTTATCTACCACAGAGTCGCATAAAAGATGCCGAAAACGATGAGGCTGTTGTTTTTAAGACCTTGTTCGCACTCTGTTACACTGTGCTAGATACCGGCACTCCTGACAGCCTGAGTTGCTCACTATTCTATTTAGTCAGATCTGCCAAGTTATAAAGTTGAATTCCGTTATCAATCTAAATTTCCTGCTAGCTCAGTCAAATCATAAATGCTTATACATTGCTCGGATGGTCTACATTTATAATGTAAGACACTCTAGAGGATGATTCTTAAATGGAATGATTCCATCTTAGTGTTCGTAGTCTTCGGTTATTCTAGATAATCTAGTAACACATCTTAGTATGTTGTTTATAGGCGTTGCTTATTGAGGAGTGTCAACCAGTTCAGGCATGTGAGAATTCTACCCCTAAACTACTGCGCTTCTTCCTACGCGCGAAAGAATCTAAGTGATACTTAAGAGCGACAATGAAAGGTAAAAAGACGTTACTTCTTAGGCAGAAGGCTGCTCGTCGATAGGATGATCAAACAACTCGGTAAAACCCATATTATTTGTGAAGCGATTTTCAAACGGGCCTCCTTTGTTAAATATCTTATACACTTCTCCCCATTTTTTCAGGCTATCCTTGTGGTAGATTTCCTCGATCTTAGACTGGTTGAGGCGATTATTCTTTCCCCAGTGTGGCCTCGCTTTGAACTCCTCGTAGAGCTTGTTCTCTAACATCTCCTGGAACTCGTCAATGCCGTATGCTCCAGGGAGAAATGGTACCTGGGGGAAAAAAAGAGATAAAAAAGCATGAAGTAAAGACTCAATCCTTACTGTTCGGAAGCGATAACGAAAATCTCCTTTAAAAGCAGGCACGTTCAATTGGTAAAAAGACGGCAAAACGGTAACGACTTAAAGAACAAATTCAAAAACCTCCAAAATGTAACTAAAACTGGAAAAAAAAAAAAAAAACACACGCAAGAAATCGTAAGTAATCGTCTCTCAGCGCGCGCACGCTAATCGCACGACACGCCAGTCCAGTACTTTCTTCTTAACACCAACTAATGTCTTATTTTATGGTAATTCTAAGAAAGGATTTTTTTCTCACCTCAATGTAACAGTTGTAATCATTGATGGTTCCGTCAGGTCTAAACTTGCTTGCAGGGCTCAGGTACAAATCATCAGAATGTGCAAGTCTCACATAAAATGGTAGCAGGGAATACTGTTTATGCTTTTTTGCGTACTCTTGAGCCAGTTTTATCACCATGGTTAGGGCACTTTGGAGGTGTTCCAACGGTAAGCACCATTCTGCTGAGCGATAGCTTAAATCACAAAAGAAACGAGAAGACTTTTAAGATAAGTAATTCGATATTATATTTATTCATAATTATAGAAGGTCCACATCAGCTTGTAAGTTACGTATTACTGACCTGCTTTACTAAATACAGCTATGCATGTGGGATATTTTAGTTTGCCTTAACCACCTTCTTACACGGCTAGTACAAATGGAACAAAAATCGGTCCATTTGGCTGTTTGTGCAGATGATAGTTAGAAAGTTTCACATAGCGAGTCTTTTAACTTACTGGATATTGCCTTTTGTGTACTGCAGCACGTTGTACCATGTCTGCCGATACGGTTTCTCGAACGAGAACTGTGACACACCGAAGTTGGTGAGCTGTGGAATACAAGTGGGACAACAATTGGCGCATCCTTGTAGGCAAGAGGATATGCAGTCTGTCTGCATGCAGCCTAGGTCCGCCATTCCTCTTCCCCCGCAACAATTACAACAGCATGAGCAACAAGCACAGCAGGTTGGTCCAAGATCTGTTTTGAAAGCTTTCGAGTAAGCCATTTCGATATGCTTGTCATCCCTGAGGGAGCAAGGAGGTAACGAGATAATTGCTTTCAACCCACCTTAAACGGGGAAAGGAATCATGAAGTGAGACCTAAATTGGAATTAAATGTACTGAGTCTTTTAAGACTTCCACCTTCGCCATCACAGCGCCTCTACCATCACCACCATTATTACCATCACCATACCTGCCACCAGCATTGTTACCAGCACTTTCACCACCATAAACATTTCTTCTACCCCCGCTAGCATTAGCACCAGCACCACAACCGTCACTACCGCTAAATTCAGCATTTACACCAGCACCAACATAAGCAACACCATGACAACCATCTCCATGGTCCCCACTGCTGCCATTGACACTACCCTTGTAATCAGTAAGAGTATTACCACCATAACTACCATTATCAGCAGCAGCACATCCCCTAACTCCATCACTGTATCATCACTATTACCAGCACTAAGACTGAGACACCACTGTCAACCCTACTACCACCAATACCAGCAGCACCACCATAAATATCACTGCCACAATCACTAGGGTCCAGTTATCAGATAAATTACTATCCAGCGTATACCGGTTTAAGTGTTAACAAGAGGTACTACAGTATCTACCCGAGAGCGACTTTTTCAGTGGATAGCGTTATTCAACCTTCGAACAACCGGTGGTAGTACTACAAACACTGCCATCACCTCTATACTCAGCAAAAACTTCTATCACCACCATCTCCATATCCAACGCCATCACTGTTACCATAGCTTTCACCACAAGCACCACTACGAATACAGCCAGCTATATAAAGTTCGTATTAAAGAGCTCATCCTGCTTTAGTAAGTAGCTCTGAGGCCTTACCTTGGTCCTAGTGGGTATGGATTGACGAAAAACGAGAAATATTCTGCATCTTTTGTCTTGTACATTTCAGCAAACTTTTCAAGAACCTCTCCCAATTGCAACTTCTTACCCACTAACGCATCGTCACAGTCGTTGTTGCCTTCCTCGTCTTCGGTCATGGTCGCTTCTGGCCAAGAGACCTGTTCCATTTTTCTGATTTCCTCCAGATTGTACATAGGAACACAGCTGTAGGTAATGGAATAGATTACCCCCATACATCCTAAGCCTACTTGACATGCCTTTAACACCTCATCACTGTTAATCTCGACCGGGTCTTCTCCGTATTTGGCTTTATCGATCTTTGCTTC